GCAGCGATCAGAACATTGCCTTCCCTTAGCCTGTAACGACCTCAGTTTGCTCGAATAGCACCTTCCATTGTCCTCCATAGCCAATATGTGGGGCTACAATATCACTCTTCCGTTTGTGGGAGACATTGGCCTTCCTTATATCGAAACCCGGCCAGCTTATTACAAGGTACTCTTGTTAATTCTCGGCAAACTACCTTCCTTCCCGGAAGAGGTGCGCATCGATACGAATCATTTCTGGTACAACTGGACTCTCATTTGTCTGTTTGTCTGCGCTCGGAACGGCCGCTGGTTGCCAAGGCAGAGCAACTCACACTCGCGAGTACCTGAAATCTTGTTCCTTGCCAAGCTGGCGACGTACACGATGTACTACGTTTCCGAACTTTCATTGACCAACATGTGGCACGGGAATTTTCACATGGCAATTCACCATGTGATGGCCCTGTTACTGTTTGCAACTTTCCTCGGCGACGGTCGACAGATCTGCGTAACGGCCATGGTTCCCTTTCTGATCCATGAAGAACTCTCCCGCTCTGAGGAAAGACGATTGGACCTGCTGGTTTGGTATAATGTCTCCATGTACACTGTGGGGCTCGTGGGGCATGTCATCAATAGACGGGGAATGTTCTCGTGCACGGCGCTACCTAGTCTGTGTGTGATGATTGCTTTATGGAACGTGTTCGCGAGCTGCAGAAAGGGAGAGCGGGGGCTGGATGTCTTTTGTACTTCAGGATGGGGAACGATGGTTGATGGACCGTTTGCCACGGCCGCCAGTTGGGGTTTATTGTGGTGGGTTTTGCGTGAGTGGTTGTCCAGGAAAGTAGCAGGTCTGGGATGGGAAGTCCCTAAGAAATGCTAGTTTATTGAGATATGGTTGTACGGTTGCTGCAAATAAGAACTATGTCACAGAAAGGGCGAATTTAATGATAATGTAAAAGTAGTCGCTATAAGTACAGTAGCTTCCGCAAAATGGATGACAACTGGTCGACTGCTGGCCCGTATGGTATGAAAAACCATATTATTTTACGTACACGGATTCCGAGCTTTGATTTCTCCTTCGGAAGTTCAACGGAGAGATTCTGGAAGGTCCGATATTGGACTCTAACATGGATCCACAGGGCGCTTTTGATAAGGCACGTAAATGATACAGCGATGAACATTCTCGCCGCAACGGCATGGAAGAGATATGGGGAATCACAATTTTGTATCGCAAAAATAAACGGTTAATCGGTTTGTATCAGGATCATGTGAACCTATATGGGGTTGATACTTGGAACGAGCTTCATGGTATACGAGTTAACGGCTAAGTTACGAGTACTTTCGAAAGTTCAAGAAATCTCTCGCGTACTATCCTTATGAGGAATTAATGTTGGCATGCACCGGTGTAAAACTACAATGTATCTCGCTTAGATAGCATGGAAAACGATGGGAAGAAATCGAAGTAGACCAGAATAGCTCAGAGTATAAATAGGCTAGTGGTTAATATAATCGAGAGAATAAAGAATAATGAATTGCATTAGTCTATTTGTGCTTCTAGCCGAATATACTTTGCTTTATACATCGATCCTAGGGTAAACTCTGGATAAGAGGTCATTCGAGTATGAGCTCATAATAGTCCTGTAGTATAGTGAAGTAACAGCCTCCATATTGCAAACGAGTCGGAACCGACCAAGGAAACGCCTTTATACGTTCGCACTTAAGGTGGCTATCATGTTTAGTGGGTCTTAAGCATGGGTGTATATCGCCTTTGCCGTATTCCCATCCTATACATGCCTGTACAAATGTGCCAACTGCAACGTTGTGGAGGATCATGTGAGTGTTTGTGAAAGTCAAGTTATTGGTTTTTGCCTACAACTAGACTTGTTGCACTGAGAGGTGGATAGGTCTGTTAGAAGCTATGCCATCGCTAGAGAACGTCTCTGGGGACCTTGCATCAAGAGAATAGCAAAAGAGTTATATTATAGAAGGAAACATGTGGGTCCCAAATATAGTACAGATCACACAATGACAACCTGACTTTGACCTCTAATTTTGGCCCTAACCCTTCAGCGGAATGGTAACGTAATTTATCATTTACTCCATGACAGCGCTGAAACCCTAACCCGTATTCTGGTAACAAAACTAGATCTTTCCTGGATTTGCCATGATTCTCGGCCTTACTATCGCTCCGTTGATGACCCCCAGTCCTGATCAAGAAGATCAAATCAATTTGTGGATTATGTTTATGGGTGTGTTATTTCGTATTAATCAGTTAATTGAAGTGCCCCGCCTGACAATGATTTCTAAATACCCTGCCCGCTCGTTCAGCTGGTTTGGCAGTGGGGGCCTTCTTTTTCAAGTGGGGACTCACTTGGGCATACGGATTGGCTAATGCGAGACTCACCAGTCGCCTGCGGCTGGCAACACTTGGCAGTCTTTTACAGCAAGAAATTGGTTTTTTTGACTCGAAGTCGAATTCCGTTGGAGTCCTGATTACCAAGCTCGCCCTAGTTGAGGGAGTACCTCACTTGGTTACGGACATTCGGAAGGAGTTATCGCGCAATGGATTGTGAGTTTACTCAGCTTGTAGTGGAAAGCCGACATTCGTGTGCAGTGTTTGATCGACTGTCCTTTTGCATTTCAGCACGGTGGTGTTTGGCATCGCTCCATCGTTCGCTTCTCAGTGGTCATGACTGTGGTATGGTTATACAACTCCATCTCCGTGTTATTGTACAGTGGCTCATATAAGACCTTCGCAGATCATGCTCGGTTTGGCACCCTTCATATTTCTTGCATCCTTCTGGCAGAGTTATTCCCTTTCCAGATACGTCGACGCAAGTAAGGAAGCTATTGAGCAATCAACACAGATTGCCATTGAGTCTATTCGGGAAGTGAAGACCCTGAAAGATCTCCGCGGGAGGAGTTGCCCGTAAGGCGTTATGAAGGTATTGCAACGATTGTACATTTACCCAGCAGCAATAACTTATCCAACACTGAACCACATGATTGGTGAAATGTTGCAGCATTCTTGAAAAGACCATTTGCTCTCAGTAAGAGAAACGCATTCATAGACAGTATCCCATATGCATTCCAGAACGCGGCCACTACCCTCACTGTCTGTGGTGGTCTTTCTGCGGGGGCCATGTTGATGGAAAAGGGGACCGTGACATTAGCGAACATGCTTACTGCAATCATGGGCATGTTAATGTCGACGATCTCGATCGCGGATTCTGCCGGGCTTGCTACGTCGTTTGCCAAAGGAAAATTTGCCGCCCTTTCGGTAAGAAATCTGCGGCAGTCCTCCGCACTCCTCACGAAATCCTTGTACATGTCTTCAGGTCGTCGCTGACGAATAGAAACCTCGTTTCATGTTAGACTTTTGCTCTCCTGGATCGCAAAACACTCATTGATGCGGATCATCCGGGAATTGCGTCTCGTGACTTTGAACCTAGCGTCAAATTGTCGAACGTCATATTCGCGTATCCCACCTCACCAGATCTTATCTTCGACGGCCGGTTCAATTTACAGTGGGCACCGTACAAGTCCTTGGCGCTGGTAGTGTTGTTCAATTGACTTTTCGCTCCAGAGGCGGGGTCTTAAAAACGCTATTTCATCTGACACGGGCAGGTCGGACCCTCCGGTTGCGGCAAGTCCTCCGTTTTGGGTCTTCTGCAACGTTGGTACGATGTCAACGCAGGCGAAGCACGAATCGGAGATATCCCTATCAAGCAATACCATCTCCGAAACGGGCTGCGTTCTCATATGGCTCTGGTGGGACAGGAGCCAATTCTATTTGACCTGTCCATCATGGAAAACATTGCTTGGGGCGCCGAGCATGGGGCATCCATGAAGGAGGAGATTGTTGAAGCAGCGAAAATGGCTAATGCTGATGTTTTCATCCGCGACCTTCCTGAAGGTATTGGCAACCGGACCGCTTGTCCCCATAAAGATAGAGCATTTCCAATAAATCATTTGACCCATAGGATATGACACTCGTGTGGGTCTGAAGGGAGGCCAGCTTTCAGGAGGTAATGTCATGGCGATTATCCTTGACGCATATTCTAAGTTGATCTAATGCTCTCTGGCTGCTTTCGGTTTCGTCGTCTATTTTATATAGGCCAGAAACAGGTAAACCCTTCCTCCTGGCTTGTCTTCCGATCATGATGGTATTGCTGTACTTCTCCCGCTGTTCTTTTCAGAGAATCGCCATCGCTAGAGCGCTGATCCGGCGACCGAAAATGCTCCTGTTGAACGAGGCGACCAGTGCGCTCGATTCAGCATAGTGAGCAAGAAGTCCAGAAAGCCATTGAAAATGCTTCCAGTGGAAGGACAACCATCACCATTGCTCACAGGTATGAGGATTGAATTTGCTCACCTCACATTGATGGAAAGCTTCTTTGTTGAGTCGAGCAATCCCAGACTCTCTTCCATCAGAAACGTTGATTGCATTGCGGTGGTCAATGAAGGACAAGTCGTCGAACTCGGACGACATGATGAGTTGATAAAGACCAATGGGCTTTACGCGTCGATATGCCGGCAGCAAGATATTTGATAACCGCCATAGAACAATGGGCCACCGAATTGTTCGTTCCTGACCGTCTCAAACACTTCTTCGCGCGATACATCCTGGAAAACTCGAATAGCGTAACTTTGTCGTCTCGCGTACCGGATGAGCAACATCTTCGGCTGCTTCGCTTTTTCTTTGTTCAGTATATCATGCGTGCATTCATCATAATGACTTGGAACAACGTAGATAGGCCAAAAATATATTCGAGAGCTGCACAATCCACTTGACAGAAAGGCATGCGATTGTCCTGCAGCCAGGATTAAGCGTTCAATGTAACGTCAACACACCGCGCCACTTTCACTGCTGAACTTGGCTAGCAAACTTCTGCGACCAAACTCTCCTGAACTTCCATTGCCGCGCACCATTGGACACTCACTTTCCTGTCCATAGTGCCGACTGAAAATAACTTCACATTTTAGTCTTAAGAGGAAGCCTAGCTCGAGCTTCATAGAATCTCCTCATTAAGATGTCTGTTACGATATACGGGACGAATCAGTACAGTGTCCCGTTGTAGTCTGATTTCTCACACAGCTATGTGTTGGACTATTTTCGCCCGCAAAGTCCGAGGGTTAAACAGTCGTCAAGTACGTTGTTGTCCGCACATTTTAGTATAAATGCCGTTCAGTCTCACAAGCTGTTGATGCATGCCTTGGGGTTCTATTTTGCTGTACCTGGTTGAGTGTTCAGTCAAACCATGCTGTTGATTTGGAGTACCGACTTATTTTGAAAAACTACCTGTCGCCAGTGGAGATGCTCTAACCCTAAGGCTTAGCCCAACCGTAGCCACACTAAGCCCATTCGTGGCTCGTCACATCTTTAAATTCTCTCTGCCTTTTGCCTCCATTACAGGCTGTCACCGATGAGAAGTAAGTGGGTAGTAAATAGCAGCCGCGAAAGGGTTAATATCTGCAGTTCAGATAAAGGCGCAGATGGACACTGAAGACATTTCCAATCCCGATGAGGATGGATGGTCCAGCGCAGCTTCAAGTGAATCGGATCCGACCTACGTTCCTCCTTGGTATGGGGAGGAAGCTGATGACTACGAGAGTGGCGACTCTTCCGACTCTCATTCTGATTCTTTCTACGAACGGGAGGCACAAGAAGTAGAAGAAGCGGCTATGAATGAAGAAGCTGATGCGGAAGCAAAAAAACGTTATCGACATCTACGACGATATCTAGAGACGAAAGTCGCTAACCCTCAATTTGACGAGAATCCATACATACCGAGCGACAGCGAAGCGAGTACGTGCACTGATATGGAGTATCAAGCCTCCTGGCTTGAGAGACTCTATCTACCAGATATGGTGGACGACATGGACATCAGCGCTGATGACAACGTAGCTGGTTCCTCCTCGTCTGCTGCTGGGAATCAGAACAGCGAAGAAAATCCCGCCATAAGAGAAGATGCTGACGAATACGTGAGTAGTGATGGGCTGGAAGGGCTATATTCAGAACATCTCGCCATAAGGCAGATGCGTTTTGAGCAATGCCGTACAGATTTTTGCTTGGATCGCGATGGAATCAAGCAGCTTGTCCGGGAGGCTGCGGCATTGGTGCTATCTAATACCAAGTTCACCAGAAAAGCGATTGATGCCTTGCAAACCGCGGCCGAAGATTTTCTTGTGCAAAGATTCAAGCTTGCTTACAGGCTGGCTTTGAGCAATTATAGCGCTTCTGCTGACAATGAAAAGCAAGTGAAGCTAACTGTGAAGAATTTCTGGGTGGCGTGTGCAATTATGGAGGGACGAGATTACCCGTAGCTGGTACAGCACTGTAATGTACTGCAGCGATAGATAGAGATTGGTGCATCTGAACTGCTTACATGAGGACTTTGGTGTGGCTTTTTTGGCGATCCGCACAAGTTGCCGTCTTTTATACGATGGACGCAGGCAAACCTGGTGCCTTGTGAATGGGAATTACACATAGCCAATATGGGTGCGTCTATAGTGTCGTCATCTAACCATGCAGTTGCTAAATGCCAGTCTGCCCACCCTGGTAACAGCTACTTTAAGATCTTCAGCAATTTTTCTCTGAGATTGCATACGAAACATTTGGACATTGCAAACTAAGGAATTTTCGGGTGTAGAAGCCATTTCTGGTGATGAAAGTAAGCATAACCCGAACCTGTGAGAGGGGTGCATACTTATGTCGGGCATTGAGCTGTGTACCACCATGTTTTCAAAAAATACTGCCATAGTTGCAATGATTGTAGACAAGGCTAAACGACTGCTATGCTTGAACGGTAAATAGGTCGTATAACTAGACGAGTCCAATTAACTCCCTTATTGCATATGCCACACTCTGCAAAGATTCTGTTCACGCATATGATGGGCAACATGCGGATATCCTGCAATCCAAAGTCAGCCTTTCCTTGTCTCGAAATCGGCAGTTCGCTGATCAGTAAGCATCGACATCGTGCTGGTAAAATACATCATGACAATGGGCTCATGTCATCCATAGCGTAAAATATAACTTTACAAGTGAAGAGTGGGAAGCCAAAGTGTAGTGCAATGTTTATGGTAAAGTCATGCATGGATACCAGTACAAACGAACATCAAGTTTATTTCAGGCAAAGAATCAAAGAGCGTCGGACTACACTACGTTACCCTATGAACGACGACTCTCCCTCATTAATTGCGCATACGTTGTCTTGCACCCTGTAACACGACTAGCCACAATCGCCTTAACGCAACGCTCCTTGCCAACGTCACGGCAGTTGAGATGGTCGAAACGGTGCTGGCGAGAGCGGTTAACGGAGGATGAGCAAGCGTATAGGTTGTTGGGATGGTCACTTCCGCCATTTTTGCGGGAGATGATGTGGCATCTGCAAGTATCGAAACGTATAAGCTGCTACTGAATAGAGGGGAAGGCTTGAAGAATAGCCATTCACGTACTTATCCTGCCCAGCTCGAACGACCAATTTCCCAGTACGGCCGTCACTCCCGCGACAACAACCGATGGTCTTGGCGACTTTGGTCACGACCCGTTGGTTGCTGCGTACCGTTTTACGAATCCCACAATCTACGTAGTATTGGCTACCATCCGCACGCTCGTATGTCTTCAATTGACGATTGGTGTATTTTTGGCGTTTGCACATGTTGGGTAGTTTGCGTGAGAGTGAATCTTTTAGAAGGGGTGCTTTTATAGGAATTGTGCGCACATTAGAGATTTCTGCGATCCATGTTTGGCTGACATGCTGGGATGCGAGATGGTATGAAATGATAAAAAAAATTGAATTAGTGCTACTATGCTGAATCGCTGTCGCTGATTTTCATCGACAGGATATCTTCGGATATCCAAGATATCTTGGACCTTCGGACGCGTCACACAAGCAACTACTAGTGGGTGGGATATCTAAATGAAAAAAGGAAAACAAATCTATGCTTGCAGCCAGCCCCGATGTAGGCACCCACGGAGTATAAATAACCCATCGCTTTTCTTCGCCACCTCAACTCTCCAGCACCCAAATTCAATATGGCTCCCCTCTCCCGTAAAAAAGATCTTTGCAACAAGTTCCTCGACAGCGAACTTCGACGTGCCGCCCGCAGATACGGTATCTCCGTAACCGACCGACTCAAAGACGAAGTCGCCTTAGCTCTCTCCCGAGCGCATATCAGCGACGCTCAAATCCGACGAGCCAATTCTACATATGCCGTGGTCGAGAGATCAGGACGCGCGGCAATCATGCCCTACCGTCCCAATTCCCATCGTGCACACTTCTCCGGTGGCCAACACACTCTCACTTTCGGTGGCAATGGGGATGTTTACGCCAGCACGTATGCTCGTATCGGTCCCAACCATCGTCGATTGATCAGAGATGAATTCGATTCGTATGATGCTGCGTTTAATGCAGTTCAGAGTGAGACTGCGCGGGTTCACGGGACTTGGCGGCACTTTCCCGTGATTTTTTCGCGAGTGGAAGGGTTGAGTCGGGTGCACGTAGAGCGCAATTGGGGTGGTTGAATTCCTTTTGGGGGGCGAATAGTGGTAGGAGTGGCAGTGGTAGTCGAATTGAAGAGCTTACGGATGATTGAGACGGATCATCATTAGAACGACCTGGTGGTTCATGGGGTACTGCCAATGTCTCTTTTGCTCACGATAGTTAAATACATCTGTTTTTTCCTATATTGGGTGTTACTCAGCTCAGTTATACTGTTGGTCATCAGGCAGTCGGAATGAGCGGTAACCCAGCAGCCCCCGCCACATCTAAAAATAGCATGGAGCGGGCAGCCTGTTTCATTCGAAGCTCCATTTTTTCAACGGCTGACAACTTGGTTTGCTCTCAACTTACTCTTTACTTCTTTCAATTCTTAGCTTGGTACGATGGTAATCATGCCAGACGATGACGAGCTTAGTACGATTTTAATGATGCCTGACGATGACGAGGTGCAGAAAGAAGTCTTTGCGGGGACTTTGTTTAAAGAAAGACTCGGAATTTTTCTTGGGGTTAGAAAAAGAGGATGGAGGCCGGAGAATAATAACAAGGTTGACTGTGAGTGCCATTCGTGCATGAAATGCCCACATTGCGGTCACGAGGACAAGGTGCCTGTGAAGTGTTTTGCGAAACTGAATAGATATTCATATATGCTCTTCTTTATGTACAGTGGTTTTTGCCAACGCCAACGAATGAGCCTGTGGGGTCCTGTCCGAGAGACCTGAAGACGCCCAAATTGAAAGATTTAGACTCCCACGTCGGGTGTTCAGAACATGGGAAGACGCCAAAGAGTACGAATTCTGCATGGCGCGGTGCGTCAAAGGAGAGTACATCTGTGGATACATACAGCGGAACCGAAACAAAAGCATGAATGTGAAGGAGCTAATGAATCACATACGATCGCATCATGGGCTCTACGAAAGTGTCGCTGCCGAGTTCCCTCATCTGAAGCCGAATGGGACAGGTTGGTTGTCGCCCGCGAGACTCAAATTTTGATGTATACTCACGCGATTCCTCAGCTGCTGATGTCAGTCAGCAATCCACCGAGGAAACCAACAACCATGACACACTGTCAACCGAAGAATCACCGCCTGGCAGGAACAATGCTTCACAGAGTCGCACCAGGACACCAAGCACAAGAAGCTCAGAAGGTATGTAGCCGTAGCCTTTCGCTTCCCAATCGACCCAAACGATTCAACCATACCAATACGGTCAATCTCTAACCCAGGCAGCAGCAGCTCACACCCCACGACGCCACCACGACGAACACAAGCGTCTCGAAGCTCCAGCACTTCCACCACTGGCATCACCACCATTCCTACACCGCCACCATCCAGCGAAAAAACTGCCATGACAAGGCGAGCGAACGGTCAATCCCCCCGGGCAAGCTCGGAACCTCTACCAAGCAGTCCCGCTTCATTGGAGACCTCAACAACAGCTCAGCTCCGGTCGCGACGCAAGGACCGCAATACAGGATCAACCATCACCAAGCCTGATAGCTCAACAGCGGAAGAGAGTACTGAGACACCAGGTGATAAACAGGCTAGGAGGAATGGCATGGGGTTGAACCTCAACAAAAAAGGCAAAGAGTCTGTTAGTCCAAAAAATCTAGCAAGCGCTTCAAATGCGAACATCCAGCAAACAACAAACGATGCCGGCACCCAACCTTCCACAAATCAACCTGAGTCATCCTTACTTACGCAAATAACAGACCTTGAGGCAAAGCTATCTGAGCTAAGCGTGGAGTTTTCCGATAAATTCCACGCGCTACAAACTGAGATTGAGCGTTTGAAGAGTTCGCACCGCCATGCTATGCGTCCGTAATGTTAACATTGAAGAAGATCAGACGTGATGAGGCAGTGTGCAGATATCTATTAGCTCATCGCATGAGCCGTTCTTTGTCAAGTGTATCTATACGCCTTATAGTACAGTTGCTGATCAGACGTGATGATCAGTGTGCAGATATCTATTAGGTCACCGCATGAGACGTTCTTTGTCAAATGTATCTATACGTCTTATAGTACAGTTGCTGAATCAGAAGAGAAAGCAGTTCTTTGTTTACAATTATGATGCCTTGTCGAATGCACACAGAAACCATGAGTACCTTGCCAAGTCTCGTGTTTATGGTAGATTAACTTGCCTGAGCCATGGTGGAAACATTTCTATAATAATTCCCTTCGGGTGTAGAAGCCATTTGTGGTATCAAAAAAAAAAAAAAAAAAAAAACCATAACCCGAACTTATGAGAGGGCGGTATACTTATGCGACATCTTGTCACCGTGAACCACCACTCGTTCACAGTCTCGATCCTTTTGGCGCTATTTTTCATTGACGGACCTTCGTGCATCAGCACTTCCGCGACAAACGACACAGGGTCAATACACCATGACATTTCCGATGAAATCAAAGAATGAATTCCAATACAATCTGTTCAGACATAAAATGGCTGCGGCAGAAAGTTGCCACCTATAGCATAATAAAAAGAACCATAAAATCTAGCCCTTACATTAAGACTATTTGTCTATATGTGTTTACATCCGTGTGCATTTGGGGCGTACGTGCGTGTGTGTGTTTGTAGCACAGAGGAAAGAAGCGTGGATTGCAATCTCCACAATCTCGCATGTACAAAAGAGGGCAGAGTGCGAGCGTACTCATGAAAGGAGAGCAAAGGCGAATATAGAATGGTACTGTTCACCAAGGACGTACACGACACAGAAATCACTTGTGCTGTGCGTTGCTGAAAGCGATCAGGAATACGATGAGCATCAAGATTGAAGTTCTTTGGGGTCCTGAACCAGAGGGCAAGTTTATCACCCTGCCACTGGCGTCCGGGCGGTTTCAAAAGATCTTATTTGATCGCAGTTTGCCAAAGGTTCTTATTGTGGGAGAAGGCAAAAACTTCACATTCACAGCCGCCTTTGTAGCGCTCAGACGATCCTTCGAGAACGTCATTACAACCACATGGCCAGTTCTTTCGCCGGATTGGAGTGAAGTGGTAAAGACTGCCTTGTCGAATGCGCACAGAAACCAAGAGTTCCTCGCCAAGTCTGATCTTTATGGTAGATGAATTTGCCTGAGCCATGGCAGAAACATTGATAACAATCTCCTTTCACTAGATACCACGTCATTCACCGTTGAAGAAGTATATACTCGCTACGGAAGCATTTTTGGTGTATCACCTTCCACTGGTCCAACCTATATCGGAAATGTCAATGCGACAGAACTTGAAGAACACGACAATATAATTCACAGTCATTGCGAAAACATTTTTTTCCAGTGTCCCCACGACGGGCAATCGGGAACCCAGCACCTGATTGTGAGTTTTATGTCGAGTGCCGCGCGGGTGCAGAAGGCTGGGAACTACCTGTTCCTTGGAATCACTAAAGATGGACGATATTCCAATGTTTATGGCCTTCGTGAGCTTATTGAAACATCTGCACCAAACATCGGTTATCGGTTGGAAGGGGTCGATGACATTACTATTCAAAAGATACTGCATTTTGGGTACAGGCATCAAGCAAGAAGAGATGAAGATGATATCCATGACAGAATATTAGCGCATCATGTTACGCTTGTTTTTCATAGAGAGGTTGTTTGGTTTTGCTTGAACAAACAGCCTTACACGATGAATATTAAATCGGCATTTTTTCAAAGGACTCTTCCAGTAGCCCAGTAAATGCAAATGATTTGAGTGACGAGTTTGCCTCGAGGCTCAACATTAGAGAACCTCAGAGAAGAACCGGGATTGAATATTCTGACGATGAAGGATAGGAGGTTCAAAGGGAAAAAGTTAAACGGGAATGAAGGGTGGTCGGCAATCATCATTTAATGCTTTGTAGAGACGGCTAAACCAAATATAATAAGGGGCTGGAAATCGGTGGACAGCTGCTCTCATAGACACGCCGATGCTTGAATAGAGACTGATGCAGTCAACTCAATCCATTACACATTTTCCTGTTTTCACTGGCAGCTGTTGCATGTTCGCTGAATCGATTTGACCACGCCTCCGAGCACGCTTCGGTTAGGACAGTTTTAGTACCACATACGCATGCATGGTTATTTTTAGGGTTAAGAGTGTCCAATGCGTAAGGAGCATTAGGCAACAGAACGCCAACCACTTCAGTTGTGAGTTGAATTGCCCGATAACGTAGGGAAGACTTTAAATCGGAAAGTTTCACTGCGTATGCATAAAGCGCACAGTAAGCAGTAATAAATAAAGCAATGTCGGACAAGAGCGCGCTTTGAGGATGACTCAGGTCGAAACATGAAAAGCGGACCTTTTATAAACCTCACGACGCAAACAGTAAGCCATCATCAAATCAAAAGTATGGACGAACAGAAAGTATCTGAAGCCAATGTTCTCATCATATACGGCTTTGGCAAGGATGAGAATATGCCGAGTGGGGTACGGCCGCAATCCATATGATACATGACAAGTTGCATTGTTCCTGCTCATTTACCTTTTACTACAGTCTGGTTTCTGTCAAAAGGTAGAAACCTTTGCAAGAGCGACAAAAATCCCATATGAGCTCCGCGCAACTCTGCCTGATCGTGCGCCGAAAGGAAAGCTTCCTTACATTACTTTCGGAGATGAAACTGTCGCGGATTCCCATTTCATTTTAAAATACGTCGTCCAGAAGCGTATCTCTCGGGATCTAGATGCCTCTTTAACTCCTTCTCAAAAGGCGGACTCCCGCGCTTTCCAGTCATATATTGAGGAGCATTTGTATTCGTGTATTTGCTATGAGAGGTGGATGGTAGATGCCAATTATCAGGTTGTCGTCCGGGAGTCCTTTTCGGCAGCTCCGTCAGTACTTCGACCATTGTTGGGCTGGTACTTTTGGAGAAAAGTGAGGTCCGGATTGTGGGCACAGGGCGTGGGAAGGCATTCGACTGAAGAAGTCTATGGGCTTCTGGAGGACGCTGTAACCCATCTCGCGGCAAGGCTGGAGGTTCAGTTTGACATCACTGCGGACAAGTCAAGACACATTTACTTTCACGGAGGAGAGAGCCCCACCCAGATTGATGTCATTCTTTATGCGTTCCTTGCCAACGCTATCGCAACTGATTCGTGAGTAGTGAACCTGTGACTACGAAAAGGCCAGCGCATGTTTGGCTTTGGCTAATAATGCAAAATCCTTTCCTCTCTACCAGCAATCCGTACTTTAACAAGCTTATGCTTGCCCAGCCAGCACTGGTGACATTTACAAGACAAATGACGACTCTTTTGTTTCCCGAATACACAAAGGTCTTGGAAAAGCTAGACGCTGGTACTCTTGCGAAAGACTGAAAAAGCAACTCTTGACGAGTTGAAAAGCGGCTGACCCTTCGATCCAACCACCAAGTGACAAAGCCGTTCGTTCATCATATGCCTTATGTAACTTACACCACAAGTGTAAAAATAGATTTGGATGATGGATGGATGTAAAGACAGAGGGAAATCCGTTTTGGGACCTCTGCACGTGCTGTATGAAATTCTCTCCCTTTGAGTACCGAGGGATGGACAACGTGGAGGAGTTTGTGCTCTCGCTCCGTCAAGTAGAATCAAGTGCATCTATTTTCTTTTGTGTTTGTGGAATGGTGTGGGGAACAATTCGAAAATCTCTGTGGAATTATCCATCTCAGTTTGCTTCTGTTCTTGTCTTACGATCCGCATGTTCTCTTTTTTTCGTAGCGGCTTTGAAACAATGCATGCAACATTTCATAGTGACCAATCGTATATTGCATATTTAAAGTCATTGACACATTTGACATGAAATTGGCGCCCAACACAAAACTTTAAACGTATGAAAATGGATATCAACCAGCCCTCTATTCAAACTCCTCACCGCCTCATCTCTCTTGAATCTACAAAAGCGGGCTTTTGGCTGTTTCCCATGTCCGATTTGTGTTTTTTTGACATTTGCTTTCTGTCCAACCACCAACTTGTGTTTGCATGCTAAAAGAAGAAAGAAAAAAAAAAAAAAAGTTGATCGGCCCTCCCATTCTGCCAAATGCTTTAATCCACTCGGGCGAGGGCATGGCAGCATGTGCTGAAGTTTCAAACGATAAAAAGCACTCGAATCACATCTGTTAATGGGATAGGGTTAAGAATGTTAAATGTTCTTGTAGAAAAAACGATTCGAATTGTCCAATCGAATGTTCCTGTTTCCAAAATGGGGCGTATCAAAAGAATTGAGAAAACATTTTTTTCTGCCAAAAGACAAATCAAACCGTTTCAAAGAGCCGCGTGTTCTGAGATATGTCTGCACGTGCAGTCATTCTGGCCATCGGTTGGTCATTGCGTTGAAATGTAGATGAACGAAGTGTTCCACTTTTCTTTTTTTTTTATTCTTTTTCTTTATTCAGCTTCTGTGGTCAGAATGGAAATAAAAGGCGGACCCTCGCTCGGCCTTCCCTGGTTTCTTTACCCTACCCGTCGCCTTGTCTACCTGCCGATCCCTCATCAGGTACCTCAGAGATGGCAGCTACACGGCAAAATGCTTTCCAAGCCCTCGATGAGGCAAAGTTTGGTCGCTCTCATGTGCGCGCGGTCTTGGTGTCTGGTGTCGGTTTCTTGTATGTTCAACATATCGCATTTCTAAAAACGCAATGGGAAATGAAATCTAACTTGCGTTTTTGGTTAATCCAGTACTGATGCCTACGATATCTTCATTATCGGTCTTGTTGTGCCAATGATCGGTTTTGTATATTTCCAAGACAATGGCGGCAAAGTCCCTACGTTCCCTGGGTCCAGTATCGATTATGACGGTCTTATTAAGGGTGTTTCCATTTGGGGTACTCTCCTTGGTCAATTGGTCTTTGGTATTCTTGGTGACAAGTTGGGTCGTAAGAAGGTGTATGGTGTGGAGTTGGGTATTATGATTGTGTCTACCATTGGTAAGTTTTCCGGCATCAATTAATTACGACAGAAACGATGAAAATCTTAACATTACATTTTTTGCCAGGGTGCTGCTTCGCGTCCAACACTGCCCGTGGTATCGGTATTCTTGCTATGCTCGGTTTCTGGCGTTTCTGGCTTGGTTTCGGTATCGGTGGTGACTACCCCGTTTCCGCTATCATCACCTCAGAGTTCGCCACTGTCAAGAGGCGTGGTCAAATGATGGCCATGGTCTTCTCCATGCAAGGAATTGGTATCTTGCTCGGAGCCCTTTTCGCCTTTATTGTTCTTGCCTGCTTCAAGAGTGCGCTCACCGATACATCAGACCCTCAAGCTTACCTCTACTTTGACTACGTGTGGCGTATTTGCCTTGGTCTTGCTGTCATTCCCAACTTGTGCGCTATTTACTTCCGTCTTACCATCCCTGAGACACCCCGTTACACCGCTGCCATTACTGGAGATGCCGAAAAGGCTGTTCGAGACTCTGAGAGATTTGTCAACGGAGGTGCCGACACTACTGGCATGCACACCCCAGCCACTGGCGCTGTCGTCCCCGCAAAGAAATCCAACAGTTTTGCCGAGTTCAAGGCATTCTTTGGAAAACGGGAGAACTTCAAGCTCCTTTTCGCCACATCCCTCTGCTGGTTCTGCCTTGACGTTGCCTTCTACGGTCTTTCCCTCAACAACTCTGTCGTCATCAGCAACATCGGGTTCAAGACCGACAAACACTCGTCGCCATACGATGTTATCCACGCCCAGGTCGTCGGAAATGTTATCATTGCGTTCTGTGGAACGGTTCCAGGTTACTACTTCTCCGTCGCATTCATTGAGAAGATGGGCAGGAAGAAGATTCAATTGATGGGCTTCGCCATGTGCACGATCATCTACGTCGTTTTGGCTTCTGCATACAACAAGATCCTCGAAACTAGCACAGCTCTTTTCATCGTCCTCTACTCTCTCGGCATGTTCTTCAAGAACTTTGGAGCCAACATGGTATGTTGACACCACACAGGCAATTCCATCCGATAATGTAACCATTGCTCATCTTTACTGTTCTGCGCAGACCACCTTCATCTACCCTGGAGAAATCTTCCCCACCCGCTTCCGATCCACTGCGCACGGTATCTCCGCTGCTGCTGGTAAGGCAGGTGCCATTCTGGCCGCTCATGGTTTCGCGAAATGGAAGGCAGACCTTGGGCTTGACGGTACCTTGGGTGTGTTGGCGGGTTTCATGTTCATTGGTTTCTTGACAACTTTCCTTTTGCCTGAAACGGCCGGCCGTAGTCTTGAGGAAATTAACAACGAGGGGGTATATGACCCAGAACACACACATGGCGAGAAGGAGCGGGATGTAATTGAAGTAAAAGCCTAATGTATAGACTGGTCTCTAGCCATCTTCGCATAGCTTGCTTGTAAAGTTGCCGCCGTAGAGGCAGGACTATTGCTGCCATGTTTGCCTTATTATCTTTTAAATAATTTTCCCTAGCGTATATTTGAGTCAGAAATAAATCCTCATGACCCATATTTCCTGTCGAACTAGTTTGAAGAGTACTTTTGTGTGCAGGTTGCTTGTAATTGTAATCCCACATTTTCGTTCGCAGATCTTACAAAATTGTAGTTGTAGTTGTAAACTGTGGCACAGTAACATTCGCCCCGCACCCTCTAAACCACCTTGACGGTCGCATGCCAAACCAGGTTTGCAAGGGACTAATGTAATTATAACGGTATGCCTGCGTTCGAGGAATTGACTTCATGAGGTATATTCATCCTCTCATAGTTAAAAGGGCTACTGAATCATTTAATGACCAACTGCGCCATGCTCTGGAAGACGGGCGATTCGACAACATGTTCATAACACTATAGTGCACGACAAAAAGAATTTCAAAGCATCGCCCTCTCAAGCAAGACTTGGTTGCAACAGATTTCAACAAATGCAAAGAAAAATTCTCTCTATTTAGTTTTATGGTACACTTTTCACAAATATGCACCGCTGTATCGACTGACCAGTAAACTATACATACGTCTATTGTAAATGACTATCAAAGAGTCGGTGAGCTACTAGCAGCGCCGGTGTTGAGCGTGAGGGGGCGAGGTCATTCGTCATGGACTGTCTAGTTGGTGTTCTTTTGAGAGGTGTTGTTGTTGGCCGTCTGCTTGTTCGCGTTTGCTTGGCCGTTCTTCTGGTTGTTGTTCTGCTTGTTATTCTGGTTGTTATTCTTCTTGTTGTTCTGGTTGTTGTTATTCTTTTGAGAAGCGTTGTTGTTGGCCGTCTGCGTGGTGTTTTGGTTTGCGTTTGCTTGGCCGTTCTTCTGGTTGTTGTTCTGCTTGTTCTTTTGGTTGTCCTTTTCGTTGTTGTTCTGCTTATTGTTATTCTTCTGAGAGGTGTTGTTGTTGGCCGTCTGCGTGGTGTTTTGGTTCGCGTTTGCTTGGCCGTTCTTCTGGTTGTTGTTCTGCTTATTGTTATTCTTTTGAGAGGTGTTGTTGTTGGCCGTTTGCGTGGTGTTTTGGTTTGCGTTTGCTTGGCCGTTCTTCTGGTTGTTGTTCTGTTTGTTATTCTGCTTGTTGTTCTGGTTGTTGTTATTGTTTGCAAATTTGAGGTCGATGGCCACACCCTTCCCATTCAAGACGGGAGTAATTGGTGATTTAAACCCGAGTAACCCCTCACAATTCAAACCATCCGCTCCAAAAGAGTTTGCAAATCGTGCCCCAAGAAAGGTAAACAAGTTGTTGCCTGTGGCGGGATCCGGCGTAGTTCCTTTGATGGTCAAACCTTTTTGACTCTGGATTACAGGCGGCGCAACCTTGGCAAAGTTTTGACAATATGTTTTGGGGTCAGCGTCTTTAAGCGTCGCAGCGAGAGTTTGACCGACTTCTTTGCGGTAGGCATTGATTTTGTTGAGATTCTGCTTGCCATTAACGAGCACCATCGGATCATTGGCGGGTATTAGGGCGACGGGAGCTCCTTGGAGGGAGGCTTGAAGTTCGTCTGTACCAAGGGTTGCGCGCTTTGCGCCAGGATCATCCAAGGCGGACACGAGGAACGGAGTGCATCCGATAGCAGGGTCCAAAAAGGCTGTGAGAAGAGCGTTGTCGGAACCATTGTTAATAACTTTGGCTTTCTTTCCCAGTTTTTTCCTGTTGTCTGCTGTATCCTGCGCAGTAGTTTCTCCAACTTGGAGGTATTGCGTATTTACATTATCTGATTGGTCCTGGTCGATAACGGCGAACGATCGGACAGTGGGGCAGGTGGTACCGTCTTTAGCGTTACCGAGTTGGGGAATCTTGGCTTGCTTTTGCGCTGCAGCAAAGAAGCCCGCTCCGTTGCAAGAAGCAAATTGACCGAAAATGCTGTTTCCGAGACCATTGACACATTTGGCTTGCTTGAGCGAACCCTTTACGTCGACAAGCTGGAGATTGTCTGCATTGGTACCAAACCAAATGCCAACAATCGCATTTGCGGGAAGGGTGGGAACAACAGGTGCAATGGCGGGTTTGGTCCCTTTTGTGATGACGAGAGGAGAATATGCAAACAGTTCTCCAGTGGCGGGATCCAGGATGGTGGCCTCTACAAAGCTTTGTGTGTTTGGATCAGACTGCTTGCAGCCGCCAGCGAGTTCGTAAGGGGTAGCTAGCCCTTGGGCGGAAAGGGCATTAGGAGGAACCGTGAGTGTGCATGGCGCTTTTGCCGCTGGGGCCGCCTGGGCCTTTGCGGTAAAGAGAAGGATGCTACAGCCGAGGATAACAAGGATTTTGTTGAAAGGCATGCTGCCTTCTTCAAGGTCGGAAGGAAAGGTTGTTGAACTCTGGTGTGTGCTTCTTGGCAAAAGGCAACCATTTGTATTTTCATATTTATGTGCATCGTAATTAAAAGTTCAATCAGCTGTGGGAAAATTGGAGAAGAAGAGGAGATCCGCGTGAGAAAAAAATAAATTCCAAAATCGAATTGCGAATATTCCCACAGGTCATTTAATTAATAAACCCCTTAGAAAGACTCCCCTGAAACACGTCTGGCTGCCTAAGCCGTTGTTGATGGAACTTCTAGAGATAAAACAGCTCCGCAAAATAAATTTAAACAAAAGCAAGGCATGAAGCAGGAGATGGACAATGCTTACAGCCGAAACAGCCAAACCGACCGTCGGGTTGGATTGCACACAAGAGAGAATGTGACTTGATGATGACGATGAGTGGTTACGCTCAAATAATATGGCTCCGATGACCGCCGATTGCCCTTGACAATCAAGACGAGCACATTTTACCCATTAAACTCCCTCTCGGCAATTGCCAGCCATGAAACAGCATCAAGATCGTACCAAACAAAATGAACACAAGAGTTGATTGTATGACGGAACAACTCTCGCTGCAAAACACACATAGTGACCTTGACAATGCAAAGTATTCACGTGAATTCAACCTATGAACGGCGAACGGCCGCCGCTTATGAGACTTTAGGGGTTTACTTCACACCTAGCATACTGCTGTATGGGACCATGTTCTGTGGTTTGAGGATGGACTTGGACAAAACTGCCCCCGCTGAGGGATAGCAGGTTTCATACTTTGTACTGGGAGGGCGATGCTACGTCCGGCAAGGTATTATTTTTATGAGACATCCTCATCGGCCGCCTTTCGCCGTCGTTTACTCCTCCTTAGACCAGTCGTTTCGTCATCATCATTGGACTTTGAGGGACGCTTTTCCTCCTTCTCAGGTATTCCATCTTCTTCTGTGACAGGAGTGCCCGTGTCATTTCCATTTCCTTTGTCCTCACCCATCTCAGTCAGTCCAAACCGCTTCCCAATGCACCAAGCCCACACAGCGCGCTCGCATTTTCCAGCGGTCCAATTATCGCTCCCTTCCCTCTTGTTTAATTCGGCAGCTTGAGCGCGCAGCTTCTCCAAAAGGTTTTTATACGCAGGTACTGTATATTGAAGTTTAGCGGAATAGAGGGACAGTGCTTCGTCCGACATGAAAGGGATACTCGGATTATATGCAGACAGAAGAGCTGGTAGTCCAAATGCTTAATATTGCAAAAGGTCGTCACACGTTCATGTTCACGAACTCACCAGAAGCGGTGGCTGGTCCGACACCTTTCAGCTTTGCCAATTCCTTCAAGGCGGCTATTATAGATTCATCAGATTCTTTAACTAACGAAAATCCTCTGCGAGAGGCCCCTACAACAACATCTGGTGGATTGGAGGACACCTGCGCAAGAAGGGTCGGCCGAAATTTTCCCCTCTGAAAAAATATCGCTCAATCCCCAACACCTCATCTCCCGAGGAACACGTCATTCACAGAAATCTTACACTCAACTTCCACTCCATGACTTTGACCTAAGAGTTTGAAAATCGGAACGTGAAGCTCCCATCACCTTCGCCCAAAAGACCCAAAGCTAACCAACCAGCTCGTCCCGCGTCAAGCTGCCTCGTTCCACTATCGCCTTGTGAAGATCATTCCACATCCACTTGTCCAGCTCCTGTAGTTTGTTTCCTTTAGCAACTTCCTTGGAGGTACATAGAGCTCTAAGAGCCGAGGAGTAGGAGGCATGCGCATTTTGCCAGTCGGTGGGAAATGAAGGCGGCATTTTGACAGAGATCGCGACCTGCTGCTGCTTCAGCCAAGCCTGTCTCCGAAAATGTCACGTGACTTGCCTTGTGCTAAGATCGTTTTGCATCGTCGTTGCCAGTACTGGCCTGTCGTCAACAATGGTTGACCTATCCAGCGATGGATTGGATATTTCTCATATATGAGTAACATGTTTGTCCACAATGACCTCGCTTGGATGAAACACGAGAGTATGCACAACGTCCACATATTTGCGTTCTCCGTTTTGACAGGGTATTATATTTTCATATCACTGCGATATACTATGACATATGATACTCTAGGATATTGTAGACAACGACCTACAGGCAATAGTGAACAGGTACAAACTCCTCCATTCCCTCAATAGCCCAGCTTTTGATAAATGCCAGCCGCCAATCCGTCAGCAATGACCTGACTCTGCTCCAACGCCTTCGTAGCCAGCCCATATCCCTCCTCATTGCGGTGCTCAATGATGGCTCCGGCGGCTCCAATTGCTAGGTCTTCGTGTTCTTTCAACAAAGCGAATATCTTGTCCTTGGGATACGCAGGGGGATTGAAGCTCTCGACCACTGCAGAAAGCTTCTTGGTGCCATCCAGTAGGGTCTTATACAATTCCTTGACTTTCTCCGTGTTCCCAGCTTTTGTTTCGTCCGTGATCTTGGAAAGCAGGACGATATGTTCCGCAAAGAGCTTTTCGAAAGTGCCGACATCCGCGTCCGGGTAGAAAGATCCAAGGAAATTGGCCATCTTTGGTGCAATCTCAAGTGCTTTAGGTTTGATGGCGTTAGCGAGGTCCCAGTTGTCGCTGCCAACAGCTATGGCATAATCTCCTGTTGTGGCGACGTGCGCTACCCAAAGGAACCGAGCTTGACCTGTGACTTTGACGGCCAAATCGACAAGTTCTGTACGATAGGCATGAGTATTAATAGCTTTGTTAACAAGATGACCCGTGACGCATACCATGTCGCCTATAAACAGGTGTGGAATTCACCAGTGAACACGACAAGAGAAGAAAAATGGAGAGAACTGCGTTCTTGAGCTGCATGGTGTCGGTAGTGCTGTCTTTTATGCTCGCACGTCTGCTTACTGATTGACTTGAGAGTTGCTGACAGAGGAGTACTTTCATGGGAAAATGGGGGATTCGGAACGCGACCTGTTTTTATAGAGGGAAATGGCAAAGTGAGGCATTGGCACATCTGGCCTGGCGCAATACGGTCCGGCGTCGAGTAAGCCCCTCCGACCGCGATGCGTCAGGGTGGAGAAACAATTTCATGAGGTGACCTCCACATGAGCGTATCGAGCAGCATCGTGCGGAACCGGTCGCGATTTCGGACATATTCTCACACACATTCATCTTGCGGGAACGAAGACGACGGAAAAAATCCCAGTACGTAAGGTATGCATCGATCAAGGGGCTCGTTGATCCTTGACTGCCACAAATTGCGGATATCCACCGCGTTCTCTCGTCATCAATACGATGTAAAGTGTCGATGAACGGACACTCAGCAACGTTAAGCACGTCAAGTGCCTCCAACAGTCCCTGAAGAGATTCCATCATCTTTCATATCAGCTCGAAGGCATCATTCATGAGAGATCGAGTGGTCCAGTGGTCGCTTGACAAAATAACCCGCGTGGGCAGGACAATGATCGGAGAGTGGGGGAGCGGAGACTGTGATGACAGCAGCGGTCTCCCACAGTGATCCCTTGGGTAGCGAAATTAACGCACCTTACTTAGCGCTTAGCATTTGATGCTGGCTGACGTAAGATTGGGAGACTTTCAAAATAAACGTGTTGCTCGCGAGAGAATATTGCTATAATGCCTTTGCTTTGCCTTCCCTCCGAATGCCTACGAATATTTCCCCATGTAGATGGACTGGTGTCATCCCCGGTGAGAAAACACACGTCTGCATCTCAAGCCGCATACACACTGAATTCAGCCTGGGTTGACTGCCACGTCACCCATCAACAGGAGATGACCACTGCTTCTCCAACCCCCGGTAGATTTGTGTCTTTTCCTGCATCATCGCTCGCGTGGCCTTCCGGGGTTCCTTCAAAAATGCACGTATGACGAAAACAAAACTGTTGCCAAATACCATCGAACCTCCCTATTACCATTGTAAAGTCCTAAATGAAAGATCTGTAATTTTCCGAGCTTTTGACTTTTGCCTGTTCTGACATGACCACCAAATAGTCGTAGTTTCATAATAACATTCACTTGGTCAAATTGATCAAGACTTGTTCCAGCGTGCAGTAAGAAAATAATTCAATTCAATCGATGAAAGTCAACATGAAGACGAAGAACCACAGAATTACATGCTCTGGGGGATTGGGGTAGAGTGACATGGTGGTAGTCATCATTGGATTGTAGTGAAATATTATCTCACAATTACCGCCCAAAACTCAAAAGGCAAATGTTTTGCTCATCAGTTTAGCCGCAATGCCAAAAAAGAAATCTCACTTTCCCTAGTTGACGACAATGAAAAATCAAACCCATATTGTGAGGAAGACATGTATTCTACAATCGGTCCACTGTCCTTGAAGCAACCCACTGTACAGAATGCAAAAGACCCGTTTTTAAATTGTGAAGGAAAGTTAATTTTCAACAACAAATTGAGATCGTCTCAACATCACCGACGTGGGTATTTGAACGCACATTGCAAAGAAGATAAGATCAATCATTTAGGTCGCCTTATGAACTTGAGTGAGGAATATTGGATGACTACCGAATTCAAAGCCAAAAATGTGCTGACATTTCCTGTGTGAAACGTCTCATAGCTCAATCATATTCAAGACGTCCGGCTCAGAAAGAGTGTTGGAGGTAGAACTCATCTTGCGGAGGAATTCTGGTAACTTCAACCGACGATTTTTAGTCTTGCATGAGAACTTAAAAACATCTCATATTTGTTGATTTTTAAAAGCAAAGTTAAGACATACCTCCTGTGTAAATAGTGAAATCAATTCCGGGCAAAACTAAATATCACAACGGCCTATTGAAAAACTCCTTCAGAGGGTACGATCAGAGTTATAGTGGCAGGGCAGCATATGACAAACACCGATCAGGCCTCAGGTCTTCAAGGCAGAGGGTAAGTTTTAACTCAAATGCAAATGTATCGGGCACGTATCACAAGGGTGGACGTTAGAAAATGAACATGCAAATTTCAAAAAAAAATACCTGGCCAAAGTGTGGAGTGACGAGAGTGGGATTTGAACCCACGCCTCCGGAGAGATCAGGGCCTTAACCTGACGCCTTAGACCAACTCGGCCATCTCGCCATACAGAATCAAATCTGTCTACTTTATTATATTCTAAATATATATACAACAGTGGACAACTCTGCGAATCTTGCCGTCCGCCCATGACCTCTCTTGCCCATCATGACAAGCATTGACTTGATAATAAAAATAGGTGGGTCAGTCCTAACAGATAAAACCAGCTACGAAACCCTCAGTCCACGTTCCCTCCTTGACCCCCTCTTCGACTCCATCTCCAACCTCCACGCGACGACCAGATTCCTCCTCATTCACGGTGCCGGCTCGTTTGGCCATCCACACGCGCATGCAGCGGGTCTATCAATAGGGTTTACTCCACCTTCTCCAAAACATGTTTTGGGAGCTGCAAAGACACGACATGCTGTTGCTACGTTGAATAGAATGGTTGTTGGTGAGCTGATTGATAGGGGGATTCCGGCTGTGTCTGTCAACCCTGGGTCATTGTTGGATGGGAATTGGTCTCGCGGGGAAGGTACAAAACCGGACCCGCCCCCACAGACTGCTTATACGGCTTTATTGCGACATGTCACTGCGTTGATAGACGCTGGATACATCCCGGTCTTACATGGAGACGTGGTATCAAGTCCATTGTTTGGATCCATGATACTGTCTGGCGACGATTTGATAGTAGCTTTTGCCTATGCACTCAAACCTAGACGAGGTTGTGTATTTCTTACTGATGTAGACGGAATATTTGATCGGGATCCTAAAGTCTTTGCTAATGCTGAACTGTTACGAACCATTCATGTGAACCGAAAAACGGGGTCCTCAAATTGTAATTGCGTGACATCCGAGTCCATAACTGTGGGGAGTGCTGTAGATGTGACAGGTGGCATGTCCAAAAAGCTGGCCTCTGCGATTGCTGTGGTGAGAGGTCCGCTGGAAGATGTGCAATGGAATTGTCGGGTGGTGCTGGTAAAGGCGGGTAGTGATGATGCAAGCAAAGCGTTGGCTGGTGACTTACTCAATATTGGGACAACCATGTTAGGCGATGATCAGGCGTAAGACATACCCGTGTGCTCTAGCATAAACGCAGGAAAACCATACTATGGGAGATATAATACACTAGATTTACAACAAAATCATGATTCTCCTCGCAACTCGATCCCTGCAGAGGCCAATAGGTCGATGTACTTTCTATTATGAGATATCTGTTGCTCCCATAGATTACGTAGGCTGTTGTCGCAAGCTTGAAGCCAGCGGTTGTTGTCGTCCGACTAGTTTTGCGGATAGAGTCCACCAACGGTCGCGCCCTCAGTGCAAGTTCATATATATCGCTCCCGGCGTATCATATATTCTGTATACCGGCATTTTCTATCAAAATGTCTTAGTCTTCATTACCGTATGAACTCTGAAAGAGTGGCAGAAGAAAGTCCCAGAGTCGATAGGGTTAGGGTTAGAGATGAGATTGGAGTGCACTCGAATGCCTCATTGGCCAGCGGTTGAAGGCTCTTTGAGGTCGTCGCGGCGTGTGGGGTAACAGGATCAACATGCACGTCCGCATGAACATAATAGGGCCGTGTGCAAGGCGGGGATTAGGGGCAGGTACGTGCTTCGCTATTCAGGATACTGTGTACTTTGTGGACTCAAAAAGGTTTCGGTATGGCAGTTTCAAGGTCCTGTCCAAGGTCTGGACGACCAACACTCTCTCAATCCCTCGTCCTATCCATCCGTCTCAACTCCACGCCACCCTCCGATAACGCACTTCCGGCATCCGAGGTCCCATCCCCGCCAAAGTCATTTGGCAACCGAACCGCCGAAAGTACCCTCGAAAGCTCGCTTCCACCTCTCTCATCCCCATCAACGCATGTGGACCCCATATCAGCATCATTATCCATGTTGGGTGGAAACACGACGTTTAATACTGCGAGGTATGCGCAAATGCTGCAAGCGGAGGGATTTACGGCTGCTCAGAGTGATGCAGTATTGGCGTTAGTAACCGAGGCTGTCTCTGAGAGGTACGTTTCTCTAAGCTGTTGGGTGATACAAGTGGAATAAAGCTCATCCAAAGAACAGCATGGAGAACGTCGCCCGCTCCATGGTCACAAAATCCGAGCAAACTGCCGAGCTAACAGACGCTGAATCCGATTTCACCCAACTTCGCTCCGAAATCCACACCCTCGAGAAAAGGGACTTTGCCATCCTCCGCGCCGAACTCGAACGCATACTCCAAGAAGTGGATCGTATGAAATCCAGCATGCGCGAAGAAGTATCGCGCGTGCATGGTGGGGTGCGGCTAGATATTAATTTGGAAAAGGCGAGAATACAGGATGAGGCTGGGCAGTTGAGGGATATGGTGGTCAAGGCTGAGGAGAGGATTGATAAGGAAATGGAGAGCTTGACCAACCGGATGGTGCAGATTCGGGAGGGCACCAAGGCGAGCTTAAAACGTGAGTCCTACATTATTGACTGCTGCCTAAACTTGTTGATCTGAACGTATTGTTTATTACCACCTCCTTCCAGAGTTTATGGGAATTGCCTTCACGGCGTTTTTAGGTATGAGTCTCCCTGCATCTCTATGTCTCCTGCTACAACCCCAAATTAACCAGCACTTCAATTCTGCTATATAGTCTATAAACTTATCAGCTACCAACAACAACAAAAGAACCGATAAAATTGTTTACTTTGTCTAATTTTGACTATTAGTATTTATATATGGTGGTTGCTATTGAATTGCTATATCATACTAGCCAAGTGCTTTGTGCATATTTGAAGGTAGGATGAGAAACACAAAAAGGCCATGTCGTATGCCTCACTTGCAGGATGCATCTTGACTGCATATAATCAATGAACAAGCTTTTGAAAATCCCATGCTTGCGAACGAAGGATAGGGAGCAACGGATTGTTCTAATACCATTTCTCATCATCCATTCGTCCTTTCCTCTTTATTTGCCCGATATTAGCGGTGATGGATAGATCTCCCTAATAAACTTGTACCCCACCTTCTCAGCTCCTGCATCCAGTTCACATCTTCGATGCAACATCCATACGCAACAAGACGATCCATGATCCCTTTTAGCGTACACACTTGGCCTAAATCACCATTGTGCTTCGTTTAGAATGTAATCTCATTACACCAATTATCTGGAATTCATATAGGGAAGCGAAAAGCTTGTTGCCATATCGCTCATATCATTCTGTTTTTACGTCGTATAGGATCTTTTTTAATGCCTTGAACAAGATGCATATGCATTATCTGAACCAAACTCCTCGGGAGGGTCCGTCATAAACAGCTGTACCTTTGCTTAGGTAGAGGTTGGTGGAAACATGAGTGGACACAACGAACACCATAAGAAAAATGGCTCTAACCATAGATCTACTTAAAATTCTATCGTTCGTTCTTGCATAGTTGAAAAGGAGAGGACTCGCATCTAGGTCGTACCGCCATAGCTTATGGTTTAGTTAGTTCTTTGATACCTATCAGTTCTTGTTCACTTCTTTTTATTTCTCGTCTATCTATCATGGTTACTTTTTGCTGACTCGTAGCTCTTGTGGTTCATCCATTACGTTTGGGTATATATCGTAGTGATAGTTACAAAGGAGATTTGGCAGGTCTGGAGGTAGGCGATATTGCTTGGATAGCTGAAAGCAGGGGTAATAACCAGTTTCCAGTCTTCTCTCCAGTAGTCATTAATTAAGGGGAGCTGCATCAGCATGCGGTTGTTTGAGGTTCGTCGGGATTTGGTCCTTGTCTCCAACCATGCGTATACATAGTGCAGTGCCTGCTGCAATACTTGTCGGCTAGTTTGTAGCACAGGGCTGTTTTTTCCGCAATCAGGGCATCCATATAGTCATGCAATAGGTTATTAACCTTGCATTTCTCTAAGGTTGCGTCTGTTTCTAGACGCCGTTCTTTGGCGCAGATAAAACCAACCCGGAGGTTCTGTGCTGCAACAAACGCCAATCATCTAAAATTGCGCGACCAGTTTGCTTATACAGGCACAAGAATCCTTTTCCTTGTATCGCTTTTATGAGATGAAAATACTTGAGTGGCAGCTTAAGCATCTGTGTGTTGCCCCCATCGGCACGTTCCTGAATTGGATAACACTACTTTGTATTTCTCTGAGATCGAGATCTTTAATGAGGTAAAGGATAATGTGCAGGCCATTGACATAATCTGGAACTTGAGTGAAAGTCAATCAGGTGCATTTGTTTATAAGAGGAACTCACTATCCTCAATGTCTCTTTCGTCCATCACAAATTTATTATTCTCGTGGACATTAAAATCATACTCATACCCACACGCTGCATCCTGTTGTAAATCAGTGTGCGTCATGGACTTGGTTTTGAACAGCCAGCTTACTTGCAGCATTTTTGATAGCCCACAAATACTCTGGGTTTGGCCAGCAGGCACTGTCATGCCGGTCAATTCATTGAAAGGTGTGCGCTAATGCTTCCCCGCTCAAGTTATCCCCAAGAGCTGTCCCCTCCAGAATTTTGTGGAACGCTGCTAGACTAGCGAGAAAACAAATATATTAGCTTATTGGCTGCGAGGTACAAAGCGAGGGTTCGGGAGGAAATTCCTAATATATGTACCGGCTTGGATTTTTCCGATGATGAGGACTAGGAACGTTCTTGCTAGGTGTAAAGAGTTTGACCTTTACAGGTTGTATTTAGGGGTACCGCCAAACCACCAGGATTTGTGTTGTATCACATATTGAATATCCCAATGCTGTGGCATTCATTTTCAACCGGCTCATGTTACGTTTCAAGACGTGCCTGTAATATACTTTGTTTTTAAAGCAATCTATGGCGTATTGCCATAAAAGAGGATGAAAAGAACATGAAAATCAAAAACGTCAGCGGTAACGATAGAATACCATCTCAGTGCCAAAGCATGACGTGAACCCTGCAGGACTTACTACCAGCGACGTCGGAGACGTAAGGGACATGAATTTTTTGTGTATTGTATAAACGACCATTTCCCCTTTTTTTGGTGAATTCTTGGAATGCAGATACGATATCAAGCATTGAAAAACATCAATGCACGGTACATGCTACACAAAAAGCTATCAAGGTAATGGAGGAACAGTACTCAAAAAAAATGAATATTATAATGTACATCACAGGGATCATCGTTGGCGTATCATCGGGTATGCTACACCAAAAAAGCAACGCACACAATGAATAACACTCCAAACCACAACACAAAAAAAAAGAAAAAACTTACTCAAATTCCGTTTGCGTTCAAGCACACCTACTCTCCCCTCCGAATTCCGCACCTCCTTTCTCAAAACATTCAATTCAGAAACCAACATAGCCTGCTGTTGAGTCAAATCCATGTATTCTTGGATCCGTTTTTCAGTTTGTTTGGTGAGGCGAGTTTGGAGGGTTGTTAGGGTGCGTTCGAGGTGGTCGCGTTGGGTTATTGTTGTTGGTGGGGTGTTTTTTTCGGGGGTTGGGGGTGTGTGCGGGGGTGTGGTTGGGAGAGAGGTTTGGTGGGTTTTTAGGAGGGTTCGCTGTGTTAAGCATCCGAGTTGGTGGGTAAAGATTGTGTTTTGTTGTTATATATGTGTAGGATGTCATATGTTTGTTGTGGTGCAATTCGTCGATAGAAAGAAAATAGTAAGCCATCCAATAAACACACAAAAAACTAAACCCAATAAAACAAACCTTGAGAGCCGGCACATCCTCAACAACATGATACAACTCCCCCACCTCTTTCCTAACCCTCTCCAAAATCCCTTCCCAAAACCCGCGTAACGTCCCCTCCTTTTTCCGTTCATTCTCAACCGCCCGAACTCGCATCCGAACCTGCTTCAAAGAGCGTAAAAGTTTATCATGGGTTTCATGGTAGGCTTCCAATTCTGTATCCATGTCTTTGATAGTGGTGGATAAGGACACGATGTCGTCTTCGCGGGGCTCGACTTGTTTAAAGAGTTCGGCCATTTTGTAGTCGAGGACGAATTTGAATTTTTCGAGTTCTTGGTTCTTTTTTTTGAGGTCGTAGATGCGTTTGGATTTGTCTTGGATCGTGTCGTCGCGTTCTTGGATCTTTTGTTTGTGAGGTTATCATTGTTGTTGCGTATCGTAGGAAATGAGTTTATCAAGCCGATCCAAGCATGAGGTTTTGAAAAAGGATCCGTTGCATAGGGTATACCACCAAGTAGTAATGTGCGTTTCGTATGTAGTAACCACCGGAAAGCGTGATCGACAAAAGGCATCCGAATAAATGTGCATACAATCATGCAATGACCAGGCAAAAGACAATACCATAGGCAACAACCAAAAAGAAGAAAACCAACAAAATCAACCACCTGTCCAACCATGTAAACCTCAAAATACCACACAAAAAACAAACCTCACGTCGAATCCCCCCAATATCCCTCTCCAAACTCTTAATAATCCCCCCTAACCTCCGTTCCTCATTCACCCGTTTCGCCAACTCCATTTTCTGCTCCTCTACACCTCGAGTCAGCGCCATAAATTTCGCATGCATAGAAGCATTTTCGGCGCGGATGGAGGCGAGGGATTGGCGTTCGATGGAGAGGAGATGTTCGTAGTGGGTGGAGAGGTGAAGGATTTCGGTGGTGGTTTCGGTTGAGAGGTCTGTGAGGGTTGCTTCGTGGGTTTGGAGGGCAGTTTGGGAGGTTGCTTTGAGCTGGTGTTTTTGGTAATCCGGTGTGATGAGGTGTTGTACCCGATGTTTTATAGGTGATTCAGGTGGAATGGGCATTCATGGGGTGTGGTCAACGAGTGTACACGGCGGTTGATGGGCGTCATGGTTTCCAGGGTAGTAATAGGCATAACGGGTGTAATGGATGAGTACGATACACGAATATATGATAGTTTGCAGCGTATCAAGGAGGGTCGAAAAATTCCGTTAGTACCCTATCGTAAACACCTTAAAAAAAAGTAAGAGACAAACCTGTTCAATAACTTGAACCTTCTCTTTAATCCTCTCCCCAAAAAACCTCTTAACCTCCTCAACCCGTTCCTCATACTCGGATCCCATCCCCTTCATCTGCTCCTCCCACTGCACCTCCATTTGCCGCGTCCGAGTTTGGAGGGCATTGTATTTAGATGTCACGTCATCGAGTTTAGTGGAAAAGGAGGTTTGGAGGGATGCGAGTTCGGCGGTGTTTGTGGTGCGGGCTGTGTTGAGGAGGTTGGCGTGGTGAGCTAGGTTTTGGGTGTGTTCGGTGTGAAGGGTGGTTATGGCCTTGGATAATATATGTATGAGGATCGTAATTGGGGTACATGTGAGATGAGTAACATGGGGGACATACGTTTTTGAGTGTTTCGATTTCTGCACGGTATTTTTCTTCAAGTTCTGTGAGGCGATGTCCATAATTGAGATCCTTGACACGGAGTTGCGTCTCGTTTTCAGCACGAAGGTCCTAAACAAAACACAAAAGAGGGCAAATCATCAGTTCGCATATTAAAAACAAACAGAAGAGACATGCCAATACAGCTTCATAAAGTTTACCTCGACTCGCCGTTTCAATTCCGACTGAAGTTTAAAATTATCTTTCAAATCCGATTTCGTGACCAATATCTACATCACCACAGAAACCGACACTCAACACTATACACGCACATACCAAAAACCAATTCGGCAACACACGCACATACCTCATCACTAAATCCCCACTCCTTCTCCCTCTTCCTCTCCCTCTCCACAACCCGAAACACCCACACAAGCCCATCCTCACCACACGTAAATAAATGCTGATCATCATACGAGATGCGGAGGCGGGTGATGGGTGCGGAATGGAGGGTTTGGTCTGTGTAGTCTATTGGTGCGTCTTGGGGGAAGGGGTATTTGAGGGTGCGGAGGGTACGAGGTGTTGCTGATTTATGGGAAAATTGTGGTGAGTAAAGTAACACGATAACGCACAGCATGGGGCTGTTTGTGAAATCAATGACGAAAGAAGACGTACTTGCGAATGCCATTTTGCCGTTCCGCGAGACTAGGACTTTAAAAGATACTTGTTAGAAACGAACAGACGGCGAAATAGTGCAGAATGGCACAAAATAAAAGAGTACATACTATTTGCCAAAGGAACCTTTGTCGAAAACTCTCTCGAGACATGTCCATCACTCACTTCCTAAATATCACCCGCAAAATCACTCATCAACATCAATGAAAAACAGCAATCCAAAAGACAATAAAAACTCACCCTCAAAACCCCATCTCCACCCACACAATAAACCAACTTTGCATCCGGCGTCACAACCGCTCCCAAAAACACCACCCCCTGCACCCGCACTTCCCCCATTTTCTTACTCCCACGCACATCCCAATCATATACAACGCCGTCCATGCCGCAGGAAAGAATGCGGGTGTCGTCGGGTGACCAGGCAATAGAACGGATTTTGCCATTGTGGCCTTTGAGGTGGGTGATAATGTCTAGTGTCCAGGTGTTGTAAATGAGGATGGTTGAGCCGTGAACGGCTGCAAAGTACTAAAAAAAGAATCACATCGGTTTGTGTGCTGTTCCTACATTGAGTAAAAAAGCAAATGTTTTACCTGTCCACCATGACTAAAATGACACTACCAAAACATCAAAACCCGATCAAAATAAACAAACCATAAAAAAAATCCCACAAAATCATACAACTAAACTCACCTCTCGACACCCTCTCACAGGGGCCTCCCAATACTGCCGAATATCATCAATCAAGACATTCATGAGCTTCAACCCGTCCGTAAACCCCACCAAAACGTACAACCCACTCGGATGTAACGCGACGCTAAAAACGAAACCAAAAAAACCAAATTCATACCACCCTTTTTTGGTTCTGTTACAAAAACATGATACATACCTTAAGGGCTCATCAAGAAAATACTTGAATACTTCAAGCGAGTTGTCAAGGTAGTTCCATATACGGACGGACCGGTCAGTTCCGCAAGTTGCTAGGAGGGGCTTACGGATGCATGTGTCCATGCCTGTGATGGAGCCGTGGTGGAAGGGGTGCGTGAGGTAGGTGCATTTGGCATTGTCAGTCTTCATGTCGTGACAGTGTGTCCATGCGCGTGCGTGGAGTTGTTTGTAAAAAGTCAATGCGTGTTATCAATTCGGTAGGAACGTAATATGTCGCAAGCAAAAAGTTTGTAAAACAGCAAATCAGTACAAACACTCACCATAACAAACAAGACAAAACTTCGTACCTCAACCTCCAACCCAACAACAAAAACCTGACTCCCACTCACAACAACCGCAACATCCTCACTCACACTCGTAGCAACCCACACAACCCCAACACCATCCTCAACAACCGTTTCCCGTCGTTTAACCAACCCCGAATCCTCTTTCTCGAAATAAACGAGCACGCCATTGGATGTACCCGCTAGGACGCCATTGGAGGTGGATTTGAGGGTTGTGATGGAAGGGAGGAGGGTGGCGTGGGGGAGGAGGTAGGCGATTTCGAGGATGAGGTCGCCGGAATCGTATAAAAGGAGTTTGGAGTCTTGGGTGCCGGCTAGGATGCGGGTTTCGGAGAGGTAGGTGTGGCAAAGGAGGTTCTTTAAAAAGTCCGTATTATTTGAGTGCGTGTGAGAGTGGTGGGTGAGAAAGTACAAGACTTTATTATACGTACCTTGTCCGTCTTTTGAGACCACACAACCTTCCACCCCCCCTCACCATGCTTCAGCGTCCGAAAAACACAATTTCCGGTAACACACACTTGAGTCCCAGCATGTTCAAAAGGGTTGACACTCAAATGACGGATATCCGCATGGGGGGAGCTAACGGTTTTGTAGGTGCCACGGAGTTTGGCCTTGTCCCAGTCCCAAATGTAGAGTATCCAGTCTGGAAAGGATGATTGGGCGATAATGTGTTTGGAGTCGGGGGAAAAGGCGAGAGCCATGAATTCCTGTGCGTTAGGAGTGGATGTTTTCAAAGGAAAATTTAAAAGGCTATAAGGCATAGAGTATTAAAATCCTTTGCAACGATTTTTCTTACCTTTGCATTGGGATCCCCAGCAACAAGCACCTTTTTCTTTCTCCCATTCACAAAATCATACACCAAGACAGCAGCCTCCCTCTCCATATTTCCACCCCCAAAAACACTCGGCCTCGTATCCCCTCCAGCAGTCGGAGGCGTCCCACTCGCACATCGCACCGCAACAGCCACAAGCGACGCTGAGGAACTGACGGCCATGGCCGTGATACCCTCTCCATCCGTCACATGTAGGAATTTCTGCGTCTTTTGTTCCGTGTTGTAAGAGACGAGTTGGGTTCCGGCGGGATAGAGGATAATTTGGTCATCAATGTAGGTAATGGGGTTATGGACGTGGGAGCTGATGCCAAAGACGTGGCTAAAATCAAATAATTGGATGATGAGCCATATTACACACAATACACACAAGACGAGTTTCTTGTTCTTTTGTATAGATTATTGGTAAGACGATGAATGAATCTTACCTCGGAACCACAGAGGGAATCGACATGGCGAACAAGGAGCTACAGTCATGTAGCAGTAAGTAGAAAAAGCCTCGGAGATCGAACACTCGTTTATCATCGGAACATTATTATATAAAACTAAGGGTAAAGTATGCAGTAACATGGATGAGGATCCCTTGGATGTTTTTGATTCTTTTAATTGCTACTATTGCGGTTCTCGGATGATTTTCAGCGTATAGGGGTATGCAGTGAGGGCAGGAAATTCGATGCTTACGAAAGTCCGATCAATGTAACGTAATCCGCTCCCAACCTCCCTCAATGATGTGAATTGCTGGCATTTTGCTATGGACAATGGACAAACATTTGGTTCGTTTGCGTATGCTTGTATGTGCGGACCTGGATGGCCTTGTGCTGATGCATCAAATCTGTAAATATATAGTTCAGAGTCCATGTTGCTTTAATGCATCCATGTCGTTACGGGTCTTGTCTCGAGTATGAACTCGTGTGTGTGCCAAAAGACTAACCTCGTGTGCATGCGTGTAACTATTGCTCTCGAGTGACATCTGTTCCGTCCATCACTTGGTATTGGTAAAAGCCTCCCCCGTCACCCGTGATTCATGATTGCTCTATTTTGCCAAAACTCAAAAAGCGGGGCTCCATTCTTCAAAGCCCCCGTCCAACCATTTGAGTTATAAAGCTTCAATGTGCCGATTCGTCCATCTCTGGTAAAAACAACTCGCGCAAACATGATGAATAATCAGCACCTTGAAGAAAGCAAAAAGCGTCTTGCCGCTCGAGGTAAGAGTTGCAATACGCATGTGTGTGTAGCTAGTGAAGATCCAACTAAAAAGCAACAAAAAGAGCGCGCAGAGCAACTCTTTCGCGAGCAACAAGAGCACGAAGAGCAAGAGAGGCGTGGATGGACACGCATTGCAGACCTGATTGTAATGCACCATCAACCCAAAACCAAGACGAGAAAAGAACATAATGAACAGACGGGAGAAAAAGAAGAAAAGAGCAAAGCGAGAGAGAAAGCGAGACAATTGTATGAACAAGCTGAAGAACAAGAGCAAAGGAAAAAGAGTGTGAGACGGTTGGTTGGACGAGTGTGAAATGTGTGTTCTGCATTATAGTGTAGGGATGAATTGCAGAAAAGTAACATGTAAGAATTCAATATGCAGTAAGCGTCTCTCGATGGGGAGTGTGAGAAAAAAAACCATTTTCTCTCCCTCTTGAGAGATATATGTCAGGAATCGTTACCCAACTATGCTGCGGTCGCGGGTTTCGAAATCTAGCACTCCCATGCGGGCATGGCCGCTCTTCAAGTAGCGGAATAGGGAAGTTACGCACTTGGCAAACTTTTTCCTATCCTCGCCTTTTGCCAAATCAAATTCCTTTGTCTTCTTGAGCACCATGTAGTCTTCTGCGGCCAGACCGGTGCCTTCGAGATTCTTCAAATAGTTGCTTGAGAACACCGCGGATACCAAATAGCATCGACGGTGATGAATGAAAAAAATGAAGACCTATCGATGCGCATCAGCACGGAAAAATCCAGCTATGAAAAGAAGAATGTCGGCATCTAAATACCTCAGGAGTCCCATGTGATTTCTTTTTTTCATTATGTTGCGCGATTGCAATGGCTTCAGCGGCGACTTGAGCCGTGATCGCAACATCATTTTTCTTATGCAGGTGGCGCTTCGCCTCAACGCCAAAGGCCACAGTGGTGCTTACTCTCTTTTTCCCATCTCGATTGCAGTGGGTAACTGCTCCGTAACCATCTGTTAGAGAGTTTACCAATGACCCCTGAATGGTAAGGCGCCCATGGAAAGATTGGGAGCGCACATCCAACTCCATAGTGGTCCCATCGATGTCAAACCTCCCTGGTCCGCAAATGTCCTGACAGTTCCACAGGTTCAAAAAGCCAAGCAGAGTTTTTTCGGCAACCTTTTCCGCCTTATCCTCATCGTTTGTCCCGCGGGTATCCACAGACACGTCGCTAACATCTGAAGCGACAGTATTACCAGATCCAAAGGCCAATAGTTCCCTCAAATCAAGGAAAAAAAGGGCGTAAATGCCGGGATTAGGTACCGCCTTCTCCAATATTTCACCACGAGTTGCCTCAAACAGCACCCCATGTTCTTCTAGCTCTGACATGCCACACACCAAAAAGTCAATATGAGCTGGCATTTTTTGACTGTATAAACTGAGGCAAACCTTGCTCTGATGGGTAGTACTCTTCAGGTACGACAAACTTGGGGTCAAGTCTCTCCACCATGTGCACTTTGGCGGCAGCATAATACCGACTATCCCACTTTGAAGCTGACTTCAAGTCATTGTCGGCGACCACAATTCGTGTAAAGGTGTGTAAGCGGTTGGGATTGTTTAGTAGCTTAAACTCTGGATCGTCCTGAAGCAGCTCTTCAAGTGGGATACGGTGAGAGAATGTCATTGTTGCAATGGTCTGAAATGTGTTTTGCTCGATTATAAGGACATTCCCAATATAAATCATGTGATTGTTTGTTGCCCCATTCCGGCGTAATATTTTGCTTTGATATTTTTGTATCTCTCTCTTTTTCAATGTGTCTCGCCGAGTGTATTTGTTTACAAGTTTATTTATATATGCAACCGCGGTCTCTCTTCTCTTAAGCAACCCCAACAAAAAGATGATTCAGTGGCTATAATTAAAGACTACACACGTATAACATATTTGCATATTGGCATAAGAGTCAATTGCCGCCTTTCTCATACATCTCTCTGACACACACACAGACTCTATCGCAGATTCATTTGTTTTGTTGTGGAATTCTTTCCATGTGTGTGTTTGTATGATCATTGCTTGCTCTCATCTCTGTTCATCATGTGATATCCCATTCCACGTGTTCTTTCAATCTTTTCATCATTGTGATATTATCACGTGATTATTATTAGTGATTAGTATGTGTGTGTTATGGATCTTCCTTTTTCCCACGCACTCGTAGGTTTTTGTTGTTTTGTTCATCATCATCATCTTTAGTAACAATGGCTACGGACACGCTTGCCATCAACACGATTCGCACACTCGCTCCTGATGTCGTCCAAAAGGCAAACTCTGGTCATCCAGGCGCTCCCATGGGATGTGCTCCCATGGCTCACGTCTTGTTTTCACGCTTCATCTCTGCCAACCCACAGAACCCTCACTGGGTATGTCTTATTGGTTTTTTTTTATCACGTATTGCTTGCTCACTTTTGTTGTTTCGCAGATTAACCGCGATCGCTTTGTTTTGTCAAACGGTCACGGATGTGTTCTGCAGTATGTCATGCTTCACCTCCTCGGCTATGACTTGTCCATGGAGGACCTGCAATCCTTTCGTCAAGTAGGCTCAAAGTAAGAGTTTTTTTATGGTTGGGATGAACAGAGAGGGCATCGCCATTGTGGCAAAATGCCCGTCGTGTCCCACTTTTGCCTTACGTTCCCCTCGTCTATGCCACTCACTAACGCTCGGTCATGACTCGTTGCCAGAACCCCAGGTCATCCAGAGGCAAACCACGGCACACCAGGAATCGAGGTTACTACCGGCCCCCTCGGTCAGGGCATTGCCAGTGCCGTCGGTCTCGCTATTGCAGAGGCCCACCTCGCCGCTGAATTCAACCAGCCCGGCTTTGATCTCGTTGACAACTACACCTACTGCATCCTCGGTGACGGTTGCATGCAAGAAGGCGTTCAAGCGGAAGCCGCTTCCTTGGCTGGCCACTTGCAACTGGGCAAACTCATTGCCTTGTACGATGACAACCACATTCAGATTGACGGAGACACTGCCCTTGGATTCACAGAAAATGTCCGCTTGCGCTACGAATCTTATGGCTGGCACGTTCAGTTTGTCGAAAACGGTGACTCGGACATTGCCGCGTTGACCAACGCCATTGAAGCCGCCAAAAAAGTCACAGACAAACCATCCTTGATCCAAGTCCGCACCACCATTGGCTATGGATCAAAGAATGAGGGAGAGGAAAAGGTTCACGGTGCTCCCCTCGGCGAACCCGATATCGCTCAAGTAAAGACCAAATTTGGTTTTAGCCCCGACCAGAAATTCAATGTCCCCCAACAAGTCTATGACTTTTACGGCAAGGTAGCTGCCAAGGGCAAGGACGCAGAAGCCCAGTGGAACCAGCTCTTTGACCGCTACGCGGCTCAGTTCCCTCAGCTCGCCGCTGACTTTAAGCGTCGCCTCGCCAAAAAACTCCCAGACAACATCAAAGATCTCTTGCCCACCTACAAGCCCAGTGACCCCCCCGTGGCGACCCGCAAACTCTCTGAAACCGTCTTGAACAAGATCGCCCCACAGCTTCCCGAGCTTATTGGTGGTTCGGCCGATTTGACTGGCTCAAATCTGACCCGCTGGAAGGGCGCCGAAGACTTTCAACCCCCATCCACTAAACTTGGCTCGTACAAGGGCCGCTACATTCGCTTTGGTGTCCGCGAACACGCCATGGCCGCGATTTGCAACGGTATCTCTGCTTACGGGGCCTTGATTCCCTTTGGAGCCACCTTTTTCAACTTTATCAGCTACGCTCTCGGTGCCGTCCGTTTGAGCGCATTGTCCAAGCATCACGTTTTGTACATTATGACCCACGACTCGATTGGATTGGGCGAAGACGGTCCTACCCATCAACCCATTGAGACGCTGGCCTGCATGCGCGCCATGCCCAACATTCTCAACTTTAGACCCGCGGATGGCAACGAAGTCTCTGGCTCCTACCTCGTGTCTCTTGAAGCCCACGACCGCCCCTCTGTACTGATTCTCACCCGCCAAAACCTCCCCCAGCTCGCCGGCTCCTCGATTGAAGCCGTCCGTAAGGGCGCCTACGTCCTCGAAGACGCACCCAACCCCTCGGTCATTCTGGTCGCCACGGGTTCCGAAGTCTCCCTTGCGGTCGACACGGCCGCCCAGCTTGCCAGTGAAAACATTGCTGCTCGCGTTGTTTCAATGCCCTGTTGGGAGCTCTTCGAGGAGCAATCGGTCGAGTACCAGCAATCCGTCTTTTTGGATGGCGTGCCTGTCGTGAGCATTGAAGCCATGTCAACGTTTGGATGGCAAAAGTGGGCGCATTTGACGTGTGGAATTGATACTTTTGGTGCGAGTGGGCCTTACAAGGTATGTCTGTTATTTTTTATCTTTACTTTTGCATATACTGACCATGACAATCTGGGATTTAGGACTTGTACAAGAAATTCGGACTGGTTCCTGATGTCATTGCTGCCAAAGCTAAAAAGCTGATTGCCTTTTACAAGGACCGCAAGCCCGAGAACAAGATTCAGAGGATTTAAATAGTGTCTTTTTTTTGTTTGTTTTTGGATCTTGAGATTTTTGTGGTTGAGGGAATATGTAAACGCAGGATGATAGGACCGCTTCTGAATCTGAATTTTTGTATTTTTCCTTGTATGTGTGTGTGTATCATGATGACATGGCCAGATGTGACAGACATTTGTGTTGTATCGGCGACATGTATCAAAATCCCAATACCCAAGATACACCGCTTAAATATGCAAAAAGGTACCTATCGCCCACGCCTCCTAACATTGCCATCAACCCCGTCATCATCCCTCACCTCTATCCCCGCTAAACAACGTACACCTCACCTATATATACGCAAAAAGTCTAGCGTACCCGCCGTCGACCCCTCCACAACACGGCACTCGAAAACAGCATAATCCCATACCTACCCAACAGAGAAAAAACACTCAAATATTAAAAATCCCCTACAACAACAACAAAATCACAACAAGAACATACCACGTAATAGCATACTGCAAATGATTATTCCTAAAATTCGTAAAAGCCTTCCGCCGAAACGGCGGCGTCTCCAACCCTTTATTCAATTCCGAATCTAAAAGAAACTCGTTAACCACACAATACACTTAAACCCAAATCTCAAAACAAAACTCTTTTACCTTCCAACAATTCAACTAGGATCGGTTCTGCACCTACGTGGGAGGCCATACCCTTTAAATCCATCCAATACCATTCGTTTTTATCTGTTCGATGAAACATTAATACATAGGAGACAGGTATCCCGTCGCAGAATCGAATGTACCTGGTCGATTCTTGGGCATGAATATGGATCCCTACAAAAACAACACCATCAGCACTTTTCTCCAAAAACCAAACAAAATCCACAAAAAAAAGCATTACCTCCTCCCCTCTCTTCAAAACCCCCTCAACCCCAACACCACCCTCAACACTCTTCACACCAACCCCTCTAGGAACCCACCCCCGATTCACCAAAACAATCCGACCATCATCATTCCGGAACCCCGATATCAAGAAATATCCAACGGGGTTGTGTTGGGTGGGTGGTATATCCGTTCTAGTTCGTGGACCGAGATGGATATCGGGGGACGTGAATTGGCCTTTTAGAGTTACGCGGGTGTATTCATCCAACGGCGTTATCCTAAAAGATGGTCACATCACGCAAAGAGTAGAATCAAAAGTATGATGATTATACATACGTTTCAGGAAGAGGGATACCACCTCTAGACATCCTCTCCTCCCATTTACGAATCAAATCCAATTTCCAATCGAGTCGGTATAATTGCCATGATCCAAGACAGAATGTTGTGAGAGGGACGCTCCAGAGCCAGCCTCCGAGGCGGGGTTGGTGGGGGGATGAGGTATGGGGACCTAATGTGAAAATGGGTGGGTTTAGGGGTTGTTTTTTGGGGATGTGGAGGGGATATAAAACGTACCTGCTCGAATTCCTCGCCAGATCATTATCCTTTGCTGGAGATTTGCTATAGCGAGAAACTGTTGGTATGGGTTTCGGGTGGTCACGTGTGTATGTGATGTCAGCATGGGACTTCTTCAAGATCCCAGATATCGTAGATGGGTGGGCAGGTATCCCGTCATGTTTTTTGTTTCCAACTTTGAAAAGATGTGTTTAAGGCGTTCGTGAACATTCTAGGAAGTTTCGGTGGACCATGATGGATTTCAGAGAATATTTGGAATTCAATCAGACGTTCGGGGGATAATCCTCGGTTGGGACAAAACAATCTTGGAAAAAGTAACCCAATGTACAATGCAACATTCCATGTCCTTTCTGTTTATATCTGTTTTCTTTATTTTGGTTAAACAGACGCATCATCATCTTCATCCTCTTCCTCATGCTCATCCTCATCCTCGTCCTCATCCTCTTCATCCTCTTCATCATCCTCATACCAAAAATTCTCATCATCGTCTGTTGGAGGCGGTGGCTTAATCACAAAATCCGCTTCTACAAAAAAAAAGCATTAGCAAAAGCCCCACACACATTTACCACCAATAGCACATGTACGCACCACTGGTAGGCATCACCAAATCCCCAGGAATATCCCCCCGACTCTTCTCCACCTGTGCCCTTACAATCTCCTCAAAAGCCCCCCGATCCTTCCGATACAACACCCCTGCATTCACATTCGCAGGTGACGAACAATTCGGATCATTCAGTAATGATAAAATGGATAACAGCACGCTTTCGACACTTTGAGTTGGGTTCCATCGTTCTGAGGCGGATTCACCAGAGAGAGGGTCGTCGCCTGGGGGGTGGAGGATTGAGATGCAGAGACGGCCGTCGGGGTAGACGTTTGGGTGGAAAAAGGGGGAATTGAAGGTAAAGGTCGGAGGGTTGAAGGGGAAGTCTTGTGGGAATTTGAGGGTTGCCTGAATTTTTGAACGAGTCAATTACACAAGATATTTTTGGTATGTTGATTTGGTATTGGTACTTACCAAGAAATACCCCCCAGCATACGGCGTCCGAAACGGACCAATAATCCCCACCCTAAGAAACAAACCTTTAACCATCACCACCCATCAACAACTCCTCAAACAAACGTTAAAGAACTCACTCCCACTCAAAAATATTATCATCCTTCATGGCGACGCGAAACCCCGGAATCGGATGCTTCATCAACTCTGCACAAGAATCCACACCCAATACACATGAACAATCCATCTTGCGTAAGATAACGTGTTACAACGCATACCTTTAAGTTGCCGCTGTAAAGCATGTTGCGCGGCATTTGACATTTCCAGAGTTCACAAAACACTATGTCGCTTTCTGAAACAATTGTTAAATACCCGTTGGAAAAAAGGATTAACAGTGCGCAGTAAAAATAACGAAAACACAACACGCATGCAATTCAACACTTGATGGGGGATTATTGTTGCCATGTCAATATGAGATCTAGTGCACTCGAATGTGTTTGTTTATATTACAAGCATTTGCACACATCTGGTATTGGTATATCATTATTCCATTTGCTTTTTGTTAGTTTTGTTACTCGTACTTTTGGCGCTAGATGGCTCATCACATCACCAACATTGCTTTGAACTTTGGGTTTATTTGTTGTATATAGTCACGTTCCATTTTCCATGGCCTGCTCGTAAGGACGGTATGTGCCTTCCCAACACAGCATCAAGTTTCGGTTGCATTTGCTCACGACCCACATGTATGCAAACACACATATTGCTGAATTCGTACGTGCTTCTTACATTGCACTATTCTCTTAATGTGGGATGGTAGGTACAGATATGATGCAATCTTGCGCACAAAAAGAAAATGAAAAGTGAATTGTGCCTGTACGCTTATTGAATGTCAAATGGATTGTCAACATGACCGAGATTCGTATCAGCTTTAGATCAAAACAAATGGAGTGGGCGTTGAATCTGAATATTGCATAACTTGTATGAAATGCATGATATTCTGATATCTCAAATGTTGGGAAGGTTAGGGTATCTAACATGGTGACTGGTAAATACAAAGGTCGACTACGCGGATTCACATTCTGATATCCCGAATAATGGGAATCTAACATGGTGACTACTAAATACAAAGGTGGACTACTGCAAATCCACAGGAATGCAAGCGTTTGTCCGAAGCCAGCACGTACGAAAGATGAGCGATCTCTCACATAAAATGACGCGATACGTAAGCGCGATCCAAGAACAACACATCTCATCCCATATCCTTTTTCAATACCAAAAACAGATCTACAAGAAACGATGGAATACCGCCAAACGATTCCAGACGCCCACCCTAAACCCATCCTAGCCCTCCAATATAACCCCTTCCGACGTGAAATCTACAGTGGGGGAGAAGGTAAAAAATCCAAAGTTTTTACATATCAAAAGTTGTTTTAAAACCTTGCAATTTTCTCTAGATGCCATTATACGTGTATGGGAGGAATCAGGAAAACTCTCTTCGACACTCTCTGAACATGTTGGGTGGATCACGGGGCTTTTGTACTGGTATGTTCTGCTTTTTTTTTTTGCTCTTTTGAGATGAGGCATAAATAACGTACGTATGCACTAGCAAGGAGCATAAACTGCTATTTTCATGCGCGATCGATGGGATGTTGATTGCATGGTCAAACGGCAAAGTCCTCCAAAAAATCGAGGTAAAGCAAAACCGCCCTCAAACTCTAACAAACCCATTTTTCTCATTTCCTTTATCATAGACGGGCTCACCCATCTACTCTCTCGCATACAACTCTCGTCGTCAACAAATCATGGTAGGCTGTAACAGACAAGTCCGCGTCTTCCAACTCGTCAGCACAGAAGAAACACATACATCCGATATCCTCGAACGGAAATCCGTATCCTGTACCGAACACTCTGATATCGTGAGTTGTATCGTGTCGTGTGAAGGGAGGTTTTATTCTGCTGGGTATGTTCTACGCAATATACTATTCGGTCCATATAAAAACGAAATTGAGAGTTTTGTGGTGCGGGGTAGGTATGATCGTAAGATTATAATATACGATATTCCACATCACGGAAACCTCAAGCTACGGGTATCGAATGTGATTAGCAATGCGCACGATGCGGCGATTTCTTGTATGATTTATGGTAAAGATGCTGATAATAGCTGGTAAGTGAAAACAATCCATATTGTTTGTATGTAAAGGAGAGAGTTCTAATGATCCAAAGGTTGATTACAGGATCATTTGATCGGTCCGTGAAACTTTGGTCTTTGGATGGCAACTTGTTGCAAAAGTTTGATGGGTTAAGGTAAAGCTATCCTTTTGTTTCCACATGTTTTCAATATGTGTGTTCCTGAACCGGATCTAGTGATACCGTCACATCCCTCTGCTACGTCCTCCCTACACAGACGCTATGGATCACGACAAATTCCAATGTTCCCATTGTTTACGACCCTCGAAGTGGTATCAATGTGAGACCTACCCATCATACAAAAATGTTGAACGTATATTCACATACGGCATTTAGGTATCGGATTTTGTACGGACGGGAGAAGAAGGGTTTCAGCATAGTAGCGGCGGGTTCGCGTTTAAACACCTCTTATTTGTCCCGGAAGTGAATGAAGTGTTTGCTGCGACGAATCGCAAGAGTATCGTTGTGTGGAAATTCAATCCTTCTGCGGCTTTGACGGTTTTACCGGGGCATACCGATGTCGTCGAGTGTTTGACGTTCAGTATGTATCTTTTTGTTTGGATTTAACCCGAGAGTTGCCATGATATCGTGGTGCATTTATTGACTTTTTTTTGCATTGTCTCTTTTTTGGGTAAGCTTCCAAGGAACCATTATTAATCTTTAGTGGAGGAGACGACGGCGTGATTCGCAAATGGGAACGTCTGCAGTTGAATACCTTCATGTACAGGTAAAGAAGCACACCCTCACATTCCCACTCCAAACCTGGAACACACACATGAAATGGCTATTCATCACAGCAAAGAAGTCCTCACCCTCCCGAAAGAAGAAAAGCAAGAAGAAGCCCCTATGCTCTACACATTCTCCCGGGACCCCGAAGAACGCCGAAAAAAACAAGCAGCCCTCCATAAACGGGTTACAGCCAAACTCAACTCTTGGGAACGCGTAGAAGAAGACCCAGCATCCACACTCTTGCTCACCCAAGATGCGTTACGAACACTACGTAAAAAAGATCATGAAATTGATCCGGAAAACAAGATTTTGAAATTAAAAAATAATCGGAGTTTGGAGGGGCTGGAGAATCTTCGTCGAAAAAGTCAAGACGAGCCTTCCAAACCGGGCGTCGTGTCCTTGTTGTATACGAAGAGTTGGATCTCCTAATCTCTGG